CGAAATGTTCAAGTTTATTTTTTTTTACTGAGTCTAAATATTTTATTATTTTATTGAAATGCATATATGCGCAATTTATTATATTCTATGTGGTTTCAAATAAAATGGAAATTAGTCTTCCGAAATAGTGCAGCCAAACGTGCTACGATAGTAGTTTTTTAGTACTATTTTGTCATTTGTACTCCCGTACTCCCCAAGGACCGATTTTACAACTATTTTGCGAGATAGTTGAAGTTTTTATTAAAGTGACTCAAAATATATTCCATCGAGGACATTGCTTGGAATGATTTGCTATCAACTTTTTCTCGCTTCGAGAGCTCAGTTTGTGATCAAGCTTCTTAAGCCATATTACAGAATTTTCCAGGGGCCGTAACAGTTACTTTTATTATAAAAATCGCTCTTTAACAATCATTTTTTGACTTTTATTTAATTACTTCTTAAATAACAGTTATTTCTGATTTTTGTTTTATAAATCCAAAAAACAGCTATTTTTAATTTTTTTTAAATAATCTTCAAATAACAGTTATTTTTGATTTTTATATTATATGTCTTAGTTATTGAAGACTTATATTCATAAAAGTCATCAATAAAAATCTGTCAGGGATTTTTTTAAATCATACTTTAAAAGTCATTTGTATAAGTCGTAGTAAACTTTTGTTCTCGAATGCCTTCTTAACTGCAAAAAAACGATAATGACTTTTATACGTATGACTTAAAAGATAAGAGTCAGTGTCTGACATAAAATATAAAAATCAAAAATAACTATTATTTTAGATTCATAAAATAAATTATTAATTTTGCATAAAAATTACGAAAAAAAATGTATTTTGAAATTAGATTATTGGCAAAAAAAGACATCGAGTTGTAGAACATTTCCTTCATAGTGAATTTATCAATTACAGTTTTCATCAATAACCGTTTCGATCGGTCCATGGAATTTTGTAAAACTCATGACTTATATCGGGTACAAAACTTTACTCATTTTAACTCTTCGAGAAAAAGCTATTTTGTTGATCCGAACTTACGCTCCAACGCCTGCAGGAAACAACATTTTGGTCATAGTTACTATACCGTAACTGCGGTGGTGGGACCTAACCACCCCACAAAAATTCGTCTACTGTCTCATATTCATCCAGCTGAAATAAAGTTGCCATGTTTGTGGCTCGAAAATCCACGCAATCCAAACGTTGTTTGCTGTCCTATTCGATTAACCCTTTATCTACCGGCCGTATGAGAATTTATTGTGTTTCCATATCAATTTCTTATGCTTATGCGCTCCGTAACTCCTTTACTTTGGTTATTTTCATGCAGTTTATACTTATTTTTGCATGGTTTTTTCCATAATTGGTATTGCTATTGTAAATCTAGCTAGAACTATCAGCCCGGATCTGTTGGAACCAAATTATTACTTACATAGAGGTCCAATGAACCCGCGCTAAACAAAGGGTTAATGAAGCAGACAGTCGAAGCCTCCCAGTCATCGCTGAGTGCTATACTGGTTGCGGGCTAATAAATTCCTGATTTGAGTCCCTTTTAACCAAATGAGCAGGAATTCTCGTGTGACCTGGCACTTATATTATGTCCCAACGCGCACTGCCAATTAAGTAATTCGCTTCTGAATTAGTTTGGTGAATTACTTCGATTACACGACTCATTCCTAATTCGATTTGACAATTTATTGCGTTTTCCTTCATTTCCTCCCTTTCTTCGTTTTGATTTGTTCTATTCTCTCTTGCTCTATCACTATGGCAATATATCAGCACGACGAGTGGTCGGTCGTTTGTTTGCTTTTATTTCACCCTCTTTTGCCCGAAGTTGCCAATAGGTAACACTGATATTTTGGTTTATACATGCATATGTATATCTTGTTGTTTGAAATACTTTTTCTAATGCTGAATACACACGGAGCAACCGTTGAAGCAACATGTTTTTCTTATTCAATAAACAAGTGGCAACCTCACTAGTGTATACTATATATCGATGGCTGAGTGGAAGATCGACCTATCTTGGCAGCCAGTTCGAAAACGCTCTATATCAAAAAACTTTTCAAGAACGCCCTATTTCAGAATTCGTTTCAAAAACGCCCTATCTCAGCTGCCGCTTCAAAAACGCTCTATATCAGCAAATTTTCAATACATTTTGAAGTGAGATAGGGCATTTTTGAATCGAATTCTGAAATAGGGCGTTCTTCAACAAAATTCTGAAATAGAGCGGTAGTGAAAAGTTTTTTGAGATAGAGCGTTTTCGAACTGGCTGCCGAGATAGGTCGATCTTCCACTCAGCCATCGATATGTTATGAAAAGAACATACGAAGAGAAATTTTATTTTCTACCAAAGCATCTTTTCAGCTCAGTGATTTTCAGTGAACCAAGCCTATAAACTCAATTCACAACGATACACACGAGGCAACCGACACGGCAACCAACACAAAATATCAACACGAATTTCTATGAGCAAAAATGCTACACACGAGGCAATCGTCGAAGCACCCAGGGCATAGGCATATCCGAAATAAAACTTAGGGGGAAAAGTCATAGGAGGCGGCTCGAAACTATTAAGCTAGCATTTTAGGGTAATATTTTTTTATATATGTATAGGGAAAACTTGCAAGTTAGGGGGAGCTCGAGCCTCCTCCTTCCGCTACCTGGCTACGGCAATGAGCAGAACGGAATGTTTTAAATGCCAACTTAAAATGCAGTGAAGGTAAAAAGCTTGATTTCATGTCCTAAGTATTTATGGAACCAATTCGTTTTTAGCCTGATTTTTTTTTGACTACTTATGCGCATAATAAATGTTGCTAAATGCGGTTCTGCAACATTTTAAAAAGTACACATCGCACACCTACTCGTATATCTAAAGTGCAGTCAACTCAAAAAGAAATTAAATGATCCTAATTTTAATACATAAAACAATACACAGGACCTACCTCCGATGAATGCAAATACTTTGTTCATCATGATTTTATACACTAAATTCACTTATATGTATGCACGTCCTGGAATTTTGGAAACAATATTTGACCCACTTCCACCAAAGCTATTGGGCTTAAAGTTTGCACCAAGTTTGGTTGTCGGGACAATGTAGTATTCCTACAAGATGAATTTAATCCCCTAGTGGCGCAGGAGTTGAGATATTTGGAATTTATATTACATATATGAGAATAAATAATTCCACAATATGCCGATAGGTGGCGCAGGAGTCGAAATGTATAGGAAACTCGTATATATGAACCAATTTGGTTCATTTCAGAAAGTATATTACTTACATGAAAATAAAAAAAAACTCCACAACAAAATTTGCCCGTAGGTGGCGCGGGATCGAAATATTTCGAAAACCTGCATCCACCACTTTTTAAAAATCCCTACCTGTTTTTGATGCTCAACACATAATATTTTTGGCTTTTCCTGTAAAATAAATGGTATGAAGGTATGTAAATATTGTACATTAGGGCAGGTCAATTTGTATTGGAGATTTTTCCGACTATGTGTAGTCTAGTGTATTGGGGTATTATACGTCAAATTCTAAAAGAAATATCCAAGGAAACCATGGCTGTCGTAAATAAGTGTTTAATTTTTTTTTATAAAACCATGCCATAAGGGATTTTTGGTTACGGGAGCTACATCTCTATATTATTAAACGTGCGATATATTCGATTAACTACTACTTAGACGGTCTAAGTGACTTAGGGTTTAAATAAGGAATACAAAATTTGTAAATTTATGAAATTAAAGAGTTTTTTTTATTATCAACCGAAGTAAATGTGTAACTCCGTATTCATAGTGTAGTACTTCATGATTTTTTTTTTTACATTTTTTAATAGATATGTATATTTTATATATTCGTTTGTATAAATATAAAACAACTATTTTATTAATACTATAAGACACCATCTATACATACATACATGGTAGTTATCATCATTTGCATAAGTACCGAGCAGTGTCGGCAATGAATAATATATAGGGAAATCGGAAAAACATCGATGCATCGAAAATACCGAAGTTTTGCTTCAGTGCATCAAAAATTTTCCAATCGTTGTATCGATGCATCGATATTTTTTGAAAACTGACACATCTAGCACATGGAACTGTGATTTCAGTTTTCCACCAAAAAGTTGAAATGACTCCAACAAAATCCTTTAGGAACATAATTAGCTCAGTTACAGTGATTAATTTGAAATTTTGTACAATTTTGCTAATAACATATTTTGTTGTGAAATATTTTCTATTTTCTTTGCAAATCGATGCATCGATGTGTGCCCTCCGATTTATCGAACAATATCGATGTACATTTGCGAATCAAAAAAATACATCCCTGTATTTTTGCCAACGACGTCCCTAACGATAACTAGCTAGGATACTTTTGTGGGTAAAAAATATTTGGAAAGTGTGGAGAAGTTTTGATAAAAAATGTAGTGAGTGAAGTAGATTTTTTCTCTCAAAGCACACCTTCATCCTCCATAGATCTGTAAAAATTAAATCGAAAGTTCAAGAACGTAGGAGAAAAGAAAAGAGAAAGAGGGGAAATTATTAATAATAATAATAGATTGGCGTTTACACATGCATATGTTGGTGTTTGGCCGAACTTCTCCTCGGATTTGTGGCATGTGCCGTATTATTGTATTTTTATGAGAAGCTGTTTTTCTTGGCAGAGGGCGACCGTTATTAGAGAGAATACTTTTTTTGTTTTTAATTTCTTGTTGTTGGGTTGAACCCAGGCCCTGCGGAATGGTAGCGCGCAATGCTAGCCACTACACCATAGAGGATCGTCAAAAGTCTGCAAGAGAAGTAAGGATTTGTATCCGAGGAGCGTAGCTGATCTACTGTTTTATTTAACAAGGTTGAGACATTTTTTTTTTATTTTTTTTTTTTATTGATTGTATTTTCAATTGTGAGATGAGGCTGAAGAAATTAAGTAAAAATTAACCTAAATACTTAAGAACTAAAAATTACTAAAAAAATTTCATAAATAAAATTAAAGAAAATAAAATAAAATAAAAGCTAAACTTCTATTGTGGAAACCAATGCATTTGGTCTAAATTCTAAGTGGCTACTAATGCTAAATAAAATTAAAATATAATTAAACATAATCTGACTATAGTTTTATATCCAACATGTATCGAACAAATTGGCTTCGCTTACATGCTTACCCCAAATTACCGAATACTTGTGCATAAAACCGATAATAACGCACATAATACTTTCGCCAAATGCTTAGCAAATAACGCCATGACAACATTTTCAGCTATTTCAGCCGCTTACTGATGGTGTCCAAATAATTGTGGCCATGGTATGCCTTGCTTGTGGCCCAGTCTTTTCCGTTAATTTCATGACCACCGCCACCAGCACCGCTATAATAGGAGCCAGGAAAGCTACTGCCAATGAATGAGGAATAATCTGCCCATGCGCGTCATCAAATTTAACCGTTTATAAGAAAGCAAAAAAAGTATGAATAAAAATTCATAACAAATGAAAGAAAATTTATATATGTACATATATGTATTTTATCATTTGAATAATAGCATAACATCGTCCCATTCTCCGGACTCTCTCTCCACTTACCAGCCGGATCGGAGTCGTAGACATGTGAATGCGATTGCACTAAATGTGGATGTATTTTACATAAGGTCTTGAATTTCAGATAATGTATTAGCCAGGCGACGCCGCCCACCAGCAACACATTCAAGCCAAGTACGCCCAGCAATAATGTAACGACGGTCATCTTGAGGTGGGCGATCTTCAAGAGAATGATAAGTGGCAGTATGATAAGCCATTTGCGGCGTTTTCGATCATGCCTGGTACGCCCAACTAAGCGCAACAAATTACGAAAAAAAAATTAAATATTTTGTAAGCTCATTTAATACTACAAGCACTTGTTAGCGCATACTAACCAACTTCAGCGTCAACTATGCGGGCGCCTGTTTCGCTGGATAGCTTCACTTGGATGCCATGATTGCGGCCAAAGGTTTCTGTTGCGCGTTTGAAAAACTTCAATATGCTCACAAATTCGCTGTCGCCTGAAATACATATATGTATAAGAAATGCAAAAACAAAAAAATTAAATTAAATAAAAAAGAGAACAAAAAAGAATTGAACATTGAGGCAAAATAAGCTCGCAAGGAGGTAAAGATACCTTTGTACATAATACAAAAATACCTTGTGTTGCCACATAGAATTTGCCGATAGATACTCGTATTTACCTGCGAATTTAAAGTTTTCTGATATTACATTATTAGTTTAAATTGAACTACAAAATTTGTGATAAACTACTACTACTTTCATATGTGGGTAATTTCCAAACAAAGTGTACATGGCCAGTAGTAGGTATTTGTTTTAAGATTGGTAAATTTATCCTCTGAAATCGTTTACCGGCGAGAAAATTTTTGCAGAATACGTAGCTGCTTTCAGCTCTTCTATGTATGTATAATAGGGGCGTCTATGTATTAAAACACCCCCCGTGGGTCCGCCGCTAACTGACACGTAGTTTAATCCCAAAAACTCCCCCGCTGGATCCGCCCCTGGTGACAGGCGTATTTGAACCGAGATTCCAGAAAAACGTGCCAATGCGGAAGTCTTCGCGATCGAAGTCTGTGCTCGCGAATGTCTTCGTATAAGGACAAACGGGGGCAGAATAAATATTATATGATAGCCAGGCAGCGTTAAAAGTCTTAAACTCCTTTAAAACGGCACCAAGGCTTGTGGGCAGCTGTAAAACTCTTTCTCACCACCTGGGAGCCCACAATAACGTAAGGCCGTGGTGTGGTGGAGTTTGAAGGCAACGAAAGGTCTGACTTTCTCGCAAAGTATGGAGCCCAAATCTGCGATAAATTAGGTCGCAGCGCGAATATTCCCGACGTAATAATAATAATAATAATAATATGTACGCATGTGTGTGTAAAGAGACAAACATTTATATAAGTCTATACGTTAAAATTAACTGTTATACTCAGTTAAATTGTTTTTTTTATTGTACTAGCTGTGTTTTGGTTTTAATAAATAAACTTGACACTGGAAAAAAACTAAAAACTCTAAAAAAATTTGGTAGATTTTGGTAGGAAAAAAAATTTTCCATGGCAACACTGATTCCAATATATAGTAAAAGTCCTTGTAAACGATGAGAGTAATTCTAATCAGAATGCCGCCATTTTGATGTGAGTATTCTCATGGGCGATAATTTTTTATTTAAAATGTCAAACTTTCACTACTAATTGCCAAATTTGGGTACTTTTCTACTACCATTTCGCACCAAAGGATTTCCAGCGTAAATGCAACGGCAGGGTGTCAAAACGCGGTTTTCAATAATTATCTAGCCTTTCATTATTGAATAATGGGGCGGGACTAAGTTCATCGGGTATGCTGGTGAAAATTAAAGTTAAGAAAGAGCAGAGACCAAAAGAAACCGAAAAAGATGTGAAAGTCGGTTAGTTATGCATATTTTTAGGTTAAGTGAAATTTTTACAAATTAATAGCCAATGCCAACCTAGGCTGTGAGCAACATTACTGAATTACCAAAGTAGCAAACTACAAGAAGATCGTCGTTCACCCCTGAGTTTAAACTATTTTTGCAAAGCAATTAGGGAAAAAAATTTGCAGAAGGTAAGTGCCGCCTTTTTAAAATTTTCGGTGACACCTAAATTCCGCAATTAAACGTTTCTTAAATGGTTCAACTGGCATTATCGATATACTTCCAAAGAAAAAGTTTAATAATTTTCGGCGAGCTGTAATTTACTGGCATTAGTGTGATACATTAGGGTGATAAGAACGGAGATCTTGTGAGTAAGTACTACAACTTTTCCAATTGTACTTCGGATATCATAAAATGTACTACAGATTAGTCAATTGTATTTCAGAAACCATAAAATGTACTTCAGAAACATATAACGTTTTCGCAAAAAAATGCACTTGACACAAATGAGCGCTCAACCATGAATATATTTTCTAAATCTATGTAGCTTTCAGATTTTTCGCAACATTTATTTAAAAAAAAAAAACATTTATTTGGTAGCTGTTAATAATATACATACATACATATGTAGGTTGAAATTACATGCCAACTGGCATATCAACTAAGGATAGTACATCCGGGTGAAAGGTGGTAGAATGCTGAATGGCTCTACCACAATCGCCTCCGCCAACCGTTGTTTTTGCCTCGTCAATAAGACGCTCTAAATGGGAAAGTCATTGCTCGACTACGCCAGGACCAAACGTAACTGGAACTCCAATATTAACCTTCACATATGTTTTTATTTTAGACCAAATTATTTCTATAGGATTCAGCATTGGCTAATATGGTCCCAGGCGCAGGAGTGTTGCCTTTGCTGTGGCGTTATAATTATTGATGGCATTTTCCAAATGAGCGTGGCACAGAGCATTATCGCACACCACAACTAAATTCGCAAGGTTGTTGCCCATCTCAAGCCACCTCTGAAGGACCGTTTGTATCCAATTGCATGCATCCGCAGCTTTAAAAGATCCGCGTCGGCGCTCCATTGCTATTATTCCGCTTGTGGCTATAGCGCCGATAAGATGAATGTTCGGCCCACGCGCGGCTGTTAGCATCTGAACTGCTCTACATCCAGAGCGTGCGCGACGCCGCGTGCGACGGCAGAACAAATTAAAATTTGTTTCGTCAATATTATTTGTTTTCCAGCTTGTATAAAAGTATTTAAAGCTCTTACATATTCGGCGCTTTTTGCCTTATTTACGGCACTGTTCATAGTCGCTGGCTAGTGGTTTACATTTTTAATCGTATACAACCTGCCCTGTAAATAGTTTCCTATTGTGGAGATCGGCACTTCCTTTTGGAAAGCATTGCACACTTTCAATTTTATTTGTTTTAGTGACAAAGTGCAGTTCTCCTCCAGCCAATTTAAAATAGCGTCCACTTATTCCACGGCAAGGGACTTTGCTTTTACTCCTCCTCTTTTGAGCATCTCTGCCAGAGGTCACCCATGTGTATTCAGTTTTATAGTTCATGCCCAAAGATCCTGCCGAATTTATCCAATCGTCGTTCTTATTTGCTGCTTCCACGGCTCTGCTTTTATCCTGATTCGAATAGACCTTGTAGTTTTGGCGCTCGATAGCTTCAGTGTCTACGTTAATCAATAAAATAAATCATATACATGTACATACATACATACACACATACATACATAAACTATTAAAATTAATCTGGGTTCTTGGTTGTAAGAGATACATTGCCATTAAGTATTTGTCTGCAAATCGGACAAAATCCTGAATTTAAGATCTCCTTTCCACAAACCTCATCCAGGAGATATTTGCATCGTAATACTTATTCGACAAATAACACACTTATCCTGGATCTCCATTTTAATAATTTTTTTTATAGTTTTTTTTTTTAAGAAATTAATTCTTTTAATCGCAACAAATCACAATTGAATGAAAGTAAAAAAAGTTCGATATATGCCATAATAAACATAAATGTATTCATATGTATATATTACAAGTAATTTTATGCAAAGTATGTATGTACATATTAAATGTGAATAAATGGCATTATGCTTGCACTATATACATACATATATTCGATTGCAATCTTTTGATATTGAAGCAATTATTATGTAGTTTCAATTAATAAAGTGTATATATTTTGTGAAAAGGAGGTCCAGGATAATTATAGCTGAGTGGAAGATCGGCCTATCTTGGCAGGCAGTTCGAAAATGTCCTATCTCCTATTTACATAGTTTTCCTTTTGTCGTGCGTTTACAATTTCTGAAGTACATATCACACTTTCTTAAGTACATTTTACGGTGTCTGAATTTCAATTGATTAGTCTAAAGTACATTTTTCGGTTTGTGAAGTACAATTTACGAATCTAAAGTGCATTTTATGGTTTCTGAAATACAATTGACTAATCTTAAATACATTTTTCGGTTCCTGAAGCAAATTGTTTGGTTTCTGAAATCCAATTGACTAATCTGAAATCCAATTAACGGACTCTGAAGTACAATTGACTTATCTGAAGTCCAATTAACAGTTTCTGAAGTACGTTTGACTAATCTGAAGTGCATTACACGATTTCTGAAATAAAATTGACGCTACGTGAACGTGGTAGTAGAGATCACCGAACTCTGAAACAAAACAAAGTGTCTCCTCGAAAGAAGAACATCAATATATCATACTTTGAGATTCGACAGTAAATGCAGTAAATATAAATATGTGGCAGAAAAAAATCAAAGTTGAAATTGTTTAGCAAGAGGCCCCTGCAGTCGCCATTCATACCGCACTTTGAGCTCGGCTTAATTTTACATAAGTATACAGCTTCCGTAAGTACGTCTACTAAACCAAGGAACCTTAACATAAAGTCCGATGTACCACTGCTGTGAACATTCACAGTTTTGGGTAAAGATCACAAGCATTCCCAACAAGCCGTTTGCCGAATTAAAAAGCAATACTCGCTTTCTTTGTACGATCCTCTATATTGTTTTTCTAAATTATCCTCACTACGATCCAGTATGATGCGCAAGTACTTTTCTCGTTTATATAATCTTAGTATTTGGACATTCAACTTTGGTAATTATTATTATTTTTTGGTTGATTTGAGCAATGTGGTTTGCTCAGCCCATTGACCCAGCTTACCCAGAGCACCGTATATTATGTTTGTCCCGACACCACACCCGGTGCCACCCCTCTTCGAGCACTCAAATTAGCCAAGTCGGCACCTAAGGTCAAAAGGCTCCTGGGAGCCAAATTCCTCATCGCTTTAGAAGACCACTAAAGTGGCAAAATCATTCCGCCCTGAAGCGTGTCTTTTGGTATGCAGCTACCCAATTCTGCTAAAATCGTCCTGTTGTGCAGCAATGCCATTATCCATGAGCTGATACAGTTATCGGCTAAGGATTTGTGAATAACTTCTATACTGGCATTTTTAAAAGCTTCTTCTATGTCAAGGAAAGTCGCCAGAGTATTAGTTAAACTTGGGTGATCTCGTATGACAAAAGAAGCAAAGATAGGGACTTCACGGAAATCATTAACGCAGATGTGGTACGTAGTTAAGCATCATAAAACCTTTTCAAAACTGCTAAGTATAGATCATGATAATACACACATATGTACGTATGCTTTACTGATTGCAGCATAGAAGAGCGAGTACTGGTCTGAATAGGTAATCAAGCTTACTTTTACTTAAGAATTGTCAAAATCGGCAAATCCCAATTAGCTGTTTTTGGTACGTGCCACATTTGTTCGCTACTTCGCGATTTGATAAAAAAGAACAACTGGCAGCACTCCGCAAGGTTGCAGAAGGAAGTGCTTTACACTGTGTAGAAAAAAAATCCTAAGCTCAACGCAATTTTTAGCAATTTATTATACTAAAATAATTTTTTTTCTTAGAGTCTAATTAAAAAGTTTGCAATTTAGGCGAAACTTTGCAGATTTTTTTTAATTTTTGTAGAAAGTTTAATGAGTACCACACATAATTTTTTAAATTCCGATCACTGATTTTCGACCTCATTACAAATAAAGGCCTCCTTCGATTTCAAATCTTCAAAATTCAAAATTGTCAACGGGTTTCTTATTTCAGACAAAAAAAAAAAATACAAAAAAGTACGGTCTCTAGGTGGTATCCGGTCACTAGCATAGTTACATGGCATGCCACAACTATCGCTTAGTATTCACTTTCATCACTTATTTTTAGGCGAACCTTGTAAACTCCTCGCGTCGCTAAACACCACAATATCCGCTGGTTCGCCTAGCTGTATGATTCGTATGCGACGTTGATCCTCCACCAACTCACGGCTATACTCATTGGGAAAGTAACCAAGACTATTTGTCGCCAACATCCAAACAATTTTCGAGGCTTTATATTTAATGCAGGACACCAAGCTGCGTTTCTCGAAACAACGACGCTGATTGCGCGCCACATACTCATCACTGTGTGTGACTAAACCGCGTTGTTGTTGGGAAGCGCCAACCTCATCAGGCGAAGCTAAAGATTTAGCATCGGTAGCGTATGGATACGTTTCTGTACGATGTGGAATACCGTTATCCATTATATCCGCCTTAGATAAATTTAAATGTTCAACAGCATTGCGGCGCACACTTCCGACGTTTATTTCACTATTCACACTTTCACTGACCAAGAACACATGCGAAAGCAGCAATAATCGAACACAGATTTGGGCAAATGTTTCCATTCTTATACAAATACACGCCTCGAATGTTGACGACAACAGAACTCGCGCCTCAACACAAACCGTCCGTTCACAAGATTGTTTTTCCGTTAACTTTTGCGAACTTGAACTTAACTTCCAGACTAGCGTATAAACGACAATGAATTGCGAAGCTGCCGCGCAGAGCAATTCCTTTTATCAGGCGAGCGTCAGCAGCCAGCACACGCAGCTTTGCTATTGTGAGCACCATAGCCGGGTATCATAGATGCAACCAATAGATGCCTTCGGCTAAATACATACAATACCTCGTTGTCATTGAGTTGCGCATTGCGGATCACTCGCTAACTGCAGCAACCACTAACAGCAAATAGCAGCAAACACAACGGGGTTGAGCTAAAATTACTGCGTCCATTGTATGTACATATATGTATGTATTTAATATTCACATCTCACCAAACTAGGTCATTGAGTAATATATGAAAACAGATTGTGCGCGCCACCATCACAAGATCATAAATGTGCATCGTCAAATTGCACAGCATCAAGCATCAACTTTGACGACAAAACGATTTGCAGTGGCGCGTAAAACACAAATGTGAGCACATTTCAGCTGAAGTGATCAAATCGGAAATTAAATACCATTGACATAGCAGTGGGAGCATTAACCAATGCGAATGCATGGACTTACACATATAATGTACCAGAGTATTTACACATCCAGACGCGTGAGTTGCGTTTGTCTTTATCAGAAAATTTGGGACAATATAGTGCATGTCCTAGACCACTCATCCACCCCTTCTAAAATGGAGGAAAATATTTTTATTGGAAAACTAAAGAATTTCAATTACCAAGTAAGGGATGCTCTATCTTTTGGTCGCGTAACTGACCGGAAGTCCATTCTTTTAAATGGAATAAACACGCTTTTACCACATATTCTAGTTAAAGTAAAGAAGTATCTATGTATATATAAATACGCCGCAAGAAAATGTTAAACTCTCTTTTTATACCCGAGCACAATTGTGCACAAGGTATTATACTAAACTTTGTTCACATAACAGTTGTTTGTAACAGGCAAAACGAATCGAGATATATATATACAAGTGTATACTTAAATGATCAGAATGAAAAAAAATCGATTCGTTCGTCCATCCTTCCGTCCGTCTGTGCACACGATAACTCGATTAAAAAGGGTTGCCAGATATTTGAAAATTTAAAATTATTTAAAGGATATTTGAAAATTTAAAATATTTAAGTTTCTTCATAAAAACTAAAAGCCTTTCAAGATATTTAAAAAATACTTTTGAACGGAGTTGCCACCTGTCCAAAAAAAAATAGAACAACGATTATTAAAAATGTAAGCTTATTTGATATCACAACATGGGTATTACACGAAAGGACTAACATGTTTTTAAATAGGGCTGTCAGCCACCTTTTAACTAAGATGAGGTAATAATGTAAGTTACATATGGGAATTGAGGCAATATGCAATTTTGCACATTCGATATTTTTACGTAGGAGCGACGTTATATCGCACTCATTTTAATTTTTTTGATAGATGCCTACACTATCCAGAAATATGTAGGGGTTAAAGCTTTAAAAAGCTTTTGTTTGGAAAACATTTTTTACTTAACCGCATGCAGCATGATTTAAAAAAATTTATATTATAGATAAATTAAAACACTATCCAAACAAATTTATATGTTAATTAAAGTACGTATTTTCAAAAACCTTTGCTGGGAGTGCATAAACCTACCCATATTGTGGTATTAAGTTAGCTTAAATTTTTAATAACCGTTGTTGTACTTTTTAGAAAGGTAAAAACAATGTATTTAAATGCATTCGAACGGTGTTTTAGTTTTGATGAAGAAACCTAATTATTTTATTGAGCCTTTAAATAATTTTAAAATTCCACATGTCTGGCAACCCTATTTTTCAAAATTCTTTACCACATGCCCACGGAAATAATCGAGTAGAAAGGAAAAAAAGAATCAAACACATCCATTGAGCTGTTCGTGCGTGATGTGGTTATGAAAACATAAAATAACTCAATTTTTGTATTTGTAACGGATAGGATTATCGGCTATTAAAACATATTTAGTATAATTTTTACGTTAAATAAGTATCAAAATTCTATTTTTTGAAAACTTCTGATGGAAAATAGTCTTATTCAAACAAAAAAATATTTATTTTTAACGATTTTAAAGCAACTCTACGAAATGATGTATTTTCCCTATGGGAAACTTCATAGCCCTGGCAGCACGGGTAAATATTAATCGATTTCAAAATCGAAAAAAAAATACTTGTCTGCTCATTTTTTTATTTCTTGAATTCTCGGGGGGTGGCAGCAGAAAAAATCAAAAAAGTTGATCTTCCTATGTATTTTTGGGCCACCCTAATGTACATATATATTATCATATACGTGTTTACATATTTACACATATGCATATGCATGCACGTATGTATGTATGTATGAATTATATTTTACAAGTAATATGCAGTAAAAGTACGAGTAGATATATTTTAAATTAAATTAACCATCGTTGCAAACCACAATCACGGGTTATCTACTCGGTGTGGAATGATACCACTCGCAATGCTGGCCAATTTAACTGAACTTGCATCTTGGAAATCTGCAATGCTACATGCATGCAGCATGCACTGCAACAGCTAGATGCCATCAACAAGAATAGGCTAAGCAAAAAAGGAAACGATGGATACAAAACGCAGACTCTACTAACTGACTGACTGATTGACTTAGTAAAGCAGCAATGACACAAACATACATACATATATAATAATAGAGTACACATGCGCGCATACCATTGGGGCCATTAGTGTGAACTCCGTCGCCGCAAGGAAATGAAAGTAAAATTAATAAAACCAGATTGGAACGCCATCGATAGCAGTGACAATGGAAAAAAAACGCACTGAAATAAAAGCAAAATCAACAATTAATTTTTTATACATATCGTACATTTGTCGCTATTGGAAAGATCAATTTTTTTTTTTCTACTATCGATTATAATAAATTGTGCCAATAATGCAACCGTTGAAACTACAAATCTTTGCAACACACTACAAACGCAGCTTTTCTCGTCGCTTTCTTGTTGGTTGTATCCACAAACCTTGTGCCTTGTGTTTGCTTACATTGTTGCATGGAAACCAATGTTGCCGGTAGTTAGTTATTCTCACTTCGTCACAAAATACACAGGCATCGCTGCCGATCGATTAACTGCACTAGCGGCGATGCATGCGCCGGCGCCTCTGACTCAATTGCAATTGTCGCCATTTGGCAGCCAGAGCTACTGATGTTGTTTTTGTTTGTTGTTTGCAATCGATATCTACAATTTGGCTTGCCACAGACCGCATAACAATGCGCTAATAACATTAATTATCATAAGTGAGAATTGTGAGGATAGTTGCATGAGGTATCAGATAGCTGTTGCGCCAAATAGAAAAAAACTTAAATTTAAATTTGTTTATTTTTTTCTTCAATTACTATTTTAATCACCACACTTTCGTTTGATTGAAGACTAAAAATTTTTTCGCGAAAGTTTTGTCTTTTTTTTTTAATTATACCAATTTTTTACGATACGCTCCGCTATTGAAAAATCTCATACATATTAAGTTATTTGAAGCACATACATACACATGTACATATCCGTAAGATAATTGTGAATAATAATTACATGTAATAGTGTGCATGTAGCTGGTATTTACATATGTGCATATGTAGTTATAACTAGAGTCCGGCCACAGGTACATTTTTCGGCCGAAGCCCAACCGAACGTTCGGTTTTGATCTAACATTCGGCCGATTACCGAAGCCGAAGCCCATGATTTACTTTAAAATTAAGTGAATCGTTTTTTTTCAAAGAATATGCTCCATCTTGCCTTTTTAAATGTACCTACAAAAAATACAAAATACATAGAAACGTATTTATCTTTTGTCAATTAACGAAAAAATTCGCACTCCACTCGTTGGTTTGCTATTGTGTGCCGAGGGGCGACCGCTCTTAGAAATATTATTTGAGTAAGCATCGATACTGAGAGTATAAAAATGAGTACTTACTTTAATACTCGGTACTTTATTTGGTGATTTTACTTGATATTTATTTTTTAAATTTTTTCTTCCACTGGCAACCCAATTTTGTCTGCTTATATGTCCATTTCAGAAAAAAATTTCCGACAAAAATTTATGTATTTTTGTCCGCAGAATCTGAATCTGGGGAAAACATATATGTCATATTTAAAAAAAATGGACTTCCGGTCAGTTTAACCCATATCCGGGTGAAATCGGAAGTCGGTTATACGACCAAACAATAAAACATCCCCGACTTGGTGATTCGTAATTTTCCGTCCAAGGGGAGTTGTAGTTCGAAGGTCATTTAGTGGTTGAAAAAGGCAATTCCGAGAAAAAAGTTCCAAACAATATTTATGTAGGTATTCTTATCCTCAGAACCCGAATATGTAGTAAAAACATATATGTATAATAAAAAAAAATTAACTTCCGGCCAGTTTAACCCACTTCCGGAAGTCCGTAATACCACCAAAAGATATAGCATTCCGATTTGTCATGTCATAATTTCGCGTTTATCAATAAAATAAAGACATATGGTTCAGATTTGACGGAAGTGAAGCCAAAAAAAAAAACGCTAAAACTTGAAAAAATTCGAATTTCCAAAGTTGTTTATTTGTAAACCATATTAAAACCAGTCTAAGCGAAGTGAACAAACACTTTGGGTAACATGGAGCGAAATACAAAATTGCTTTGCATCAATTGTATGTAGTTATTGGGCACTTTCGTAGCCTTTTTCTGACGCCCAATAATGGGTATGTTTTGAAATCTGTAGCTCGTTTCTGTAACAATTCTCTACCAAGGCGAATCGAGATACGAATTCGCCGCCCTGTTCTCTACTGCTAATTAGTAGGTGAGAGTGACGTATTTTCTCTACCAGTAGAGAAATAATCGGTAGAGAAAAGTTACAGAAACGGGCTACTGTTGTACATAAAATTAGTGAGGAAGTGACTGCTCAAAAACCAAACAAAATAGTGGAAATATGAATTTAAAGTAATGGCCCTCAATTCGGACTCTACTCAAAATGGAAGCGCTTTTGAGATGACTCTGCGGCATTGTACATGCCACTCGCTACCTGCAAGCTCCAGTTACAGGTATTCTTCTGCTTAGAAGCAGGCAAAAGATGGAAACTGTTA